TTCGAAACCGAAAAAAAAGGGTCACGTAAAAATGAAATTGAAAATTGGAAATTTTAAGTTTTAAATAAAAGAAAATAATTGCAGCGTGCAAATTTCGCAGTTTCGAAATAACTGGTTTCGAAGTGTCTCGGTTTCGAGATGACTGGTTTCGAAACGACCGGTTTCGAAATGATCGGTTTCGAAGTGTCGCGGTTTCGAAGTGACGCGGAGCCATTAGTAGTTGAAGTACAGAAAAAACCAATCAACTCTTAATTAGGTATAAAAAAATTATTCAAAACTTTATTTCCCAAAAAACAAAAAAGAAATCAAAAAAGTTCAATAAGTTCCCATGAATTGTCCTTTCTTTCTCTTCTCAAACTCCTCCCACATTTCATTGAAGTGTTCCAATTCTTCCGATTCCTCTGATTCCTTTGCCTTTCTTTCCAAATTCATAATTGTCACTGCATAGATTACAGCATTGATTAGAATGGTTACAAAGCAGAATCCACCGATTTTGATCCAGTTTTTATTGTAATCCCAGAATGTCAATTGTCTGAAAATTATTCAATGTTTCAGGTAAATTTTCCTCAACAAACGCTACTCACGACACTTTTTCAGCGGCTAGAATTGACTTCAAAAATCTCAAAAGGGCTCTATAATTTGTGTAGGCCATTGAGCATTTTTCTTGATGAGCCGAATAATTCAAATCGAAAATTTTTGAGAAAGAAGACTTGAAATCAGTAACGGCTATTGAATTGTTTGAATTTTCGACCTCCTCAGCAAAATCGCGCCACTGAGAAACATCCAGTGCTGGATTTGGAATGTCGGCAAGATTCTCGACGAGCCATCTGAGGGACATCAGGTTTTCAATGGATTCTGGAGTGTAGAATTCGTGCCTTTTCAGAATTTGATCCCTCATTTCGAAGAATTTGGATTTGGTGGACTGGAAAATCTGAAAACTTTCGAATTTTAAATTTTTGGAGATTGGGATTCATGCGATTTTTGTTTTCAGTTTTTCTAAATAATTTTGGTTATTTTTTGAATTTTCGAGTTATTTGAAAACTGAGTTTCAGGATTTCAGAGGTTGTTTTGTATTTTTTGAACTTTTTGAACTTTTTCGAAGTTGGAGTTTTTGATAGGATTAGAATAGTTGTAATACTAAAATTTATGAATCTGTATCTAAATTTGTGTACTTTTTGAAAATTTTGAAATTCTCAATTTTCTTATGAATTCTTTTCTGGTTTTCCTTCTGAATTTTCTTCTGAATTTTCTTATAGACCGGGAGGAGGGAAATTTTGGCATAGATATAGGTGAGATACTGTGTCATTTAGATACATTCTCTAGTTCCAAAATGTTCTCCTTGAAATTTCACACGTTTCTGTCAAATTTTCAACCTTCTAACTCACCGCGGAGCCGAGATACAGCGCTTTGAAGTTTAAGAGGATAGAGACGCAGACGACGAGACACGCTGCGTCTCTAGCCACCAAAAATTTGATTGACTGTATCTCGGCTTCTAGGAGTGCTAGGAAAATGGTTTTTCCACTAAATCGTAGCTAAAGAAATGCGGAAAAAGTTGAAAATTTGGAGTTTTTGCATTTCGAAAATTTTGAAATTTCCATTTTTCTTATGAATTTTTCTTATGAAAAAGGGCCCCCTGACTTTTAACTTTGAGGCGATTTATCTCGGTTCCTGATAAAGATATTAAAAAATTGTCAGCTGATAAAATATTGGTATATTATGACAAACATTTTATCAGTTGACAACTTTTTGATATCTTTGATAGAAACCGAGATAATTGAGCTCAAAGTTGACAGTATGGGGGCCCTTCTATTACAGGTTTTACGGTATCAGAAAAGCGGAAAAAAATTGCAAGTTTTTCGAAAAAAGCGACAAGTTCAAGCTAAATTATCTCGGTTCCAGTAAAAAATAACATCAACCTTCATCTTCTCCAACCATCCACGTCGCATCGAGGTGCTAAAATTCAAGTTTCGAATTTCAATTTCCAGCAAGTCTCCGTTCTTAAAAAACGTCTCAAAATCTGTCGAACTCTTGATAACTCGGTCAAACAATTTGAATAAAATCGATCCACTCTGGAACTTTTCCGTCACATTGTATTTGTTGAACTCCATAATGTATTTAGTGTATCGATCGTCTTTCAAATTGCTCAGCTTCGTTTTCAGGTCTTCAACTTTTGCCATCCCCGTTTTCACAGAAGCAGCGAGTACTGAGCAAACTCGAGCGAAATCGGCGAAGTCGGAAGGTGATTGAGGGGACGAATCGATGAATTTGAATACAGGAGTCATTCGGGAAAGCAGATTTTGGTCCGTTGATTTTCTGAAAAAATGAACAAAAAATCGATTTTTTTGGATCGCCCTAAACTCTTTATCCTTCCACAGATATCAGAAATCGTTCAACTGATAAGTTATTTGTCATATTATCACTAATATTTTATCAGTTTCAGAAAAATCGAGAAAAGTGGCTCAAAGTATTTTACCTCCGTGGTACGCAATTCTGTATTTGTACTTTGACTAATTATCTCGGTTTTTGTGTAAAAGATATCAAAAATAAATAAATAACTAAATTGGTAAATTGTTTATCATAAAATCACCTACATCCTACCAGCTGACACATTTCTGATTTCTCTTATGGGAACTGAGAGAATTGAACTCAAAGTTGACGATTTGGGGGGGGGGGTTGGAACTATTACGGTACATGCACTTTGAGCTCAATTATCTCGGCTCCTATAAGAGATAGCAAAATTATTTTCACTGATGAAATGTTGGTGATACGAGAACAATCATTTTATTGATTTTTTGCTTTTTAATATCTTACAAATGAACTGAGGTAATCGAGCCCAAAGTTGACGATTTGGGGGGGGGGGGGGTTCAATTCAAGCGTTCACGATACTCGGACTTTGAGCTCAATTATCTTGATTGCTAGAAGAGATATCAAAAAACTCTCAACTAATAAAATAGGGATGATAATATGATAAACAATTTATCAGTTGACAGATTTCTCTTATGGGAACTGAGATAATTGAACTCAAAGTTGACTGTTTGGGTGGGCTTCTATTTGGAAAAGAAAAAACGTTTTTTAATACCTCAAATTCTCGGAAGTCTGTTTCAGCCACTTCTCCGTCTCATCCAATTTCCAACTCGAGAAACTACTGATTTTTCCTTTGATTGCACTGATTGTTTCATTCATCGATACTAGTGCATCGAGAGCCTTTTCGAAATTGTCTCGCACGCCCTTAACTTCTTTCATTGCTTCCTCATACTTGTTCTTATGCTCAACAGATGCAATATGTATACGCGAGACTGAATAATGGTTCAACGTTTCAATGCTTTCAACTCCATTGATTGCAGCTCTGTACTCTTTGGATTCCTTCAAATCCTTCACCCTCTTCAAAAGTCCCGTGTACTCATCGAACGCTTCTGTTAGACTTTTGAAATTGTTCAAAAAATCATCATCTGATATCGGAATTTCAGATTTCAAAATGCGGTGGAGATGAGTCCAAGATGTTTGGAATTCGATTTCTGATGTGTATCCAGCCGAAGTTATCCAATTCAGAAGACGTAAAACTGTGTCAGAAGAGTTTTTGAATGCATCGGGTTTCGCATCAGAACGTAGATCATTCCAAATGGATGACAGAACTAGCTCCACTTCGAAAAACGGATTCAAAATTGTTTTCAGCAGTTTAAGGCCTTCTCCTTTGTTTAGAACTTTTCGAAAAAATTGGCCGTCGAGATCTTGTTTCAAATGTACCAGCGTTTGTGGAAAGCCTGGAAAAGGAATATTTAGTATTAAAGGTGGACTTTGAGCTAAACTATACATTAGTTCTTAAATCAAGAAGTGGTCAACTGATAAAACGGTTATCATAAAATTAACACTTGTTTTTCAGTTGAACACTTTTTAATTACTGTCACAGGAACCAAAAAAAAATTTTGAATAAAGTTGACGCTACTTTTTTTTTTGGAAAAAAAGATAAAATTTCAACCAATGAATTTTTTGTAATTTTCAACATTTTTGACATCTTCAGAATTTGATTTTTGATTTTTTTCTCGAAATCTGGATATAAATATTTTATCGAGCTTCAGACAAAATCATTCTAACTTCTTGAGCTATTTTCAAATTTTTTGAGAAAATGTTGATTTCTGCAAATCTCGAAAATTACAGATTTTTGAATATTGAAAAGGAAAATTTTCAAAAGAAGTTCAACAATTTGTGAACATGCACAGCTTCCAAAACTTTCCAAAATTTCGGAATTCAGAAAAACCAGCAATCAAAAAATATGATTAATTTCAAAAATTCACCAAATTCTGAATTACTTGGAAATAGTGAAAATTCGTATATTTTTTAAATCCAAAATTTAGAGAAAAACAAGAAAAAAGTTCAGAAACATTCAATTTTCTCTCAAAAAATTAATAATTCATAATTTTTGCCTCAAACTCCCGGGCCGGACCATTCCCCTGCAGGCCCCGGCCCGGCCCGCAACATGTATGAGCAATTCAAAAGTTCAGAACTTTAAACCTCACCCGAAGAATGAGCCAATTCTGTCAACATCCTAGCCACTCTGTTGCCAGTTAGATATGATTGAGATTTTGAAAAAAGTTTTCCCAAGTTCCCCGCATGATCATCATCACCAACTGAACCTCCTTCCTTATACGCTTTCAGACTGGAAATCAAAAATTCAAAGTCTCCGAAAATCTCAAAAACCCGATGACGTCCATCTAACTTTGGTATCCCCTCCGTGATTGCTTCAAGTATTGTTGGAATCGCAGTCAAAGCAGCCACAGCTCCTCGAATCCTCATTTCAACAACACCGGCGTCGTCCGAGTAGCTCAAATTTTCCAGAACGGACTTGTGGTATTTCAAAAGGCCCAAATCAAGAAATTTGAACTTGTCCCATCCTTCAATTATCGCTGCCACCTCATCCTTCTCTCGTTTCCCAGGGATTACGGTAGTATTGATTAACTGGTGTAGCTTTTGAAACATCTTGAATCTCTTGCTTTTCTCATTGAACACCGTTAGATTATTATTCGAGTCTGTCAATTCTTCGACAATTCTAGTTGCATGCGTCCCATCCAAATTCATCAATTCTGAGATTATGGAATCGTCTAGAAGGAAATATTTTCCGAGTGCCGAATATGGTTTCGTTGGGTTTATGAGCTCAGCAAAGGTGTTCAGAGAAGCTGTCAGCCGGGAATGAGCATCGAGAGATTCGGCGATTCGCAGGAAGACGGAATCTGAAAATATATACTTTTTAGGGACGTTGAACCTGAGATAGAAGGGACCTCAATTTTGAGCTTAATTATCTCGGTTCCTCTAAGAGCTATCAAAAAGTTGTCAACTGATAAATTTTTTTTCATAATATCAAAAATATTTTATCAGTTGACAACTTATTTGTATCTCTTATGAGAACAGAGATAAATGAGTTCAAAGGTGCAACCGCTTCGCCTACAGGCTTGCTACGCCACCCCTTGTACTCTTTGAGCCGGTTTATCTTGGTTCCCACAAGAGATATCAAAACGTTGTCAACTAACAAAATGTTTATCGTAAAGTTGTCTATATTTTTTTAGTTGGCAAATTGCTGCTATCTTTTGAAGGAGCCGAGATAATGAAGCTCAAAGCGCGCCGGCTGAAAGCGGATAGCTCAGCCGGCAGCTCTCACTTTGGCAGTGAGGGGTTTTACGAGAGGATATCTTTTTGTAGGGTACTGTACCTTCTGACATCGCATTCGATGGTGTAGATGAAGAACCACTCAACCGGCACAGTAATCCAAGGAATAGAAGTATGAGAACTGCAAAAAAATTAAATATTTTTTTTTGGAGGAATTCCGAGATTTTTTAGATTCTAAGACTCCTTGAAAGGGTTAACATTTCAAGAAATACACTTTTCATGACTACTCGAACCTCTAATTTATCAAAAATCAATTTTGAAAAGAAAAAAAAAGATAAAACCCCAGTAGAGATCGAACCCGCACCTTCCCCATAGTGGGCCACACCACATCCCCTGCACCACAGGGCCCACTTTGGAAGTAGGTGAAAGATGGCGCTTAAGTGTGTGGCGCTTTTTCGACTTCAATGGGAAGACAGTAGAACTCAAAAAAATGTGAATTTTAGAAAAATTCTAAAATTTCAAAAAATCGAAATATCTCGGCTTAAACTTACGGAAAAACCATGAAAATTGGGGAGATAATTATAAATATCACGTCTTCTAAAATTTTCTTATGCAATTTCAAAGGAATTACCTTTCATATTTATTTGATTTTAGTCACAAACAAGATTGAGAGAACTGCAACTTTCAAGCTTTTATAGAAGTGATGGCTGCTAAATTTAATCTTGAGGGATGTGCTACATTTCCTTAGCCGGTGAGCTGGATTTTCTACGTCATCAGCCAGCTGGACGATCCATAATTTTTTGGGAGAGAAAAGTTCACGTGAAAATCAATTTTTTAAACATTTTTTTAACCTTTAAAAACCAATTTTAGAGGTTGCTCTCTAGTTCTAGATTTCAGTAAATATTTCTCAAGAAAAATGCTTAAAGGAGGCCAGACACGACAGTCTACGGGGTTTTCTTGGGGCGAGATCATGCATTCTGACGGAAAATCGGGCGATTGCGTCCCAATGCGCACTACTTGACGAGCACCTTGTTTTTTTTTAGTGTACACTAAAATTCTTCCATGTTAGGCAATTATTCCCAACTTACTTTTCTTGTTGTTCGGTCATTCCATAATGTCGCCGCATAAAACAGAAAAAAAACGAAAAAAACAGAGATTGGAATCGAACCCGCGGTGTTCTGGTTTGGTGTTCATTGTTATTTGGGGACTGTACTGTCATATATCAAAAAACTAGAATTTTGAAAATTTTCATGTCTGGCCTCCTTTAAAGGTGGGGGGACAGGAGATTTTTCGTAGTTTTTTTGTAGCTAGAGTATGCATTCTACCGTCACGGTGTACAACGCTTAATGTCACTCTGCGTACAGCGGTCGTCCTCGCCTTTATGTATGCAATCGGGCGTGCGCTTTCTCTTTGCCCGCGTGGCTCAGTCGGTAGCGGCGCTGCACCCTCAATCATCTCCCTCACAAGTTCAACTCCTCGAGGGGCATCTTTGAACGGAATTTCGAGAACATTATTTTTTTCATGTCCCCCCACCTTTAAACATAATCAGGATGACAAAATCTTATCAGCGGCTCGAATAGAATTTTGAATTAGGCCCTAGAAATAACAAAAAAAAATAGAAATATTCGTTTTAAAAAATCTTGAAATCTAAGATTTTCATGTTTTTTTCAAACTACAAATTATAAAAGTAAGATATTCTCGTGATTCGTGATTGTCTCATTATCAGTATATCACTTCCTATATACATATTTGCTCAATTTCTTACTTTTTTTTCGGGCGATGCAAACTTTCCTTTGGTCAGTTTTACTATAAAAACCCCTCGAAACGTTCAAAAATGACCATTTCAAGTTGCAAAAAATGCTCAAATTTCTGACAATTTTCTATATAATTTTCGCCATTTTCTCTGGAAAATTCGCTGCTGGAACCTATGGTTCGTGGGATGGTCAACTGCCGTTGGAGAGGTTTCAAATCGTACAAACCACTGGAAATGTGGTCAAAAATTCGGAAGTAAAGGTGAAAATTTTTGCAATCTCTTGAAACGTTTTAGATATCTGAAATTCCAAATTTTGGAATTTCAAAGTTTAAAAATTCTAAATTCGTGATTTTTTTTTGTAATTTCAGAATTGCTCAATTTTCGAAATTTTCAAGACTTTGATAAATATTTTCCGGAATTTTTCAATTTTTTTTATTTTTTGAAGGAGTTTTTTTGAATTAAATTTATTCTGAAAAATTTTTTTTTCGTTTCAAATTGCAAGTTTAGAATTTCAGACTTTCTAATTTTCTCAATTTTCCAAATTTCTGAATTTCAGAACTTCTGAATTTCTGAATTCCCGATTTACTGATTTTCTGAATTTCTGATTTTCTGAATTTCTGAATTTCAGAACATTTGAATTTCTGAATTTCGGAATTTCTGAATTTCGGGATTTCTGAATCCCAGAACTTCTGAATTCCTTAATTTCTGAATTTCTGAATTCCTGATTTACTGATTTTCTGAATTTCTGAATTCTAGAATTTCTGAATTTCTGAATTTCTGAATTCCCGATTTACTGATTTTCTGAATTTTTGAATTTCTGAGTTTCTGAATTTCCCAATTTCTGAATTTCCGAATTCCTGAATTCCTGAATTCCAGAACTTATGAATTTCTGAATTTCCAAATTTCAGTACTTCCGAATTTCTGAATTCTAGAATTTCTGAATTTCTGACTTTCGGAATTTCAGAACTTCTGAATTTCTGAATTTCTGACTTACTGAATTTCTGAATTTCTGAATTTCCAAATTTCTGAATTCTAGAACTTCTGAATTTCTTAATTTTCCGAAATTTTTACAATTTTTTACTGAATTTAAATAAATAAAATTTCTTTTCAGATTTTCGAAAATTTGAATTTCGCGGAATTTTAGAAATTCTGAATTTCAAAAATTTCAGAATTTTATTGGATTTTTTTCTAATATTCCGATTTTCAGTTTTTTTTTCTGAAACTCTGAAAATTTCCAGACTTTTCAAATTTCTTCAAATTCCGAGAATTCTGAATTTCAGATTTTTTTTTCGAATTTTGGTTTTTTGAAATCTCAAATTTCCGAATTTTTCAAACTTTTTCAGCCAAAAAATTGAAATTTTCTCCCAATTTTCAGACCGATCATCACAATCTACCAGGCAACTCGAATTTCCCACCCCGGAATTTTTATCATTTCCGTTTTTAATCCATTTTTTGAAAAAAAAAATTTATTAAAACAATTCGTGTATTTTTGTGTGTAGTACCCGAATAGTTGAGGAGGATATAGATGACAATAAAATCAATTTTCAGCATAGAGAAACAATTCAAAAAAAAAACAAGGGTGAATGTGATAAAAATGACAAATTTAGATCATTTTTCCTCGGATTCCTCTTCTTTCACGTCTTCTGGATCTTTCGTCGCCGCCTCTTCTGAATCCTTCGACTCCACAACGTCTTCTGAATCTCCAGATGCCTCCTCGTTCTTTCTCTGATTTTTTCGCAATTCTGCCTCGTAAAGCGACACCTTGTAGTGTTCCCGCTCCATTGGATGTCCACGATAGTATTCGAATCCTGCAAAATTGAAGAAAATCAGAACTTTTCCAGTTTTAACGTCTTCTAGACAAAATTCAGCCAATTTTTGTGATTTTTAGATCAAAATTTCCTGCAAAAAAGCGGAAAAATGGAATTTTCAGACAAAATTTCTGCTGAAAATAGTCGGAAAATCTCCGTTTTTGATGGATTTTCAGGCTAAAAAATCGATTTTTAGCCAATTCTGGGGATTTTTAAGTCAAATTTTCTCTCAAAAAATTTTTTTTAATTTTTCAGACAACATTTCTGTTGAAAATAGTCTGAAAATCTTGATTTTAGAGGGATTTTTTTTATAGAAAAAAGTTTATTTTAGCAAATTTTGGAACTTTTTAAGTCAAATTTTCTCTCAAAAAAGTTTTTTTTTCATTTTTCAGACAACATTTCTGTTGAAAATCGTCTAAAAATCTTGATTTCTGCGGGATTTTTTATAGAAAAAAGTTGATTTTAACAAATTTTGAGAATTTTCAATTCAAAACTTCTCCCAAAAAACCGCAAAAATGGAATTTGCAGACCAAATTTTCTGTTGAAAATAGTCTAAAAATCTAGATTTTTGAGGTATTTTCAAGCTAAAAATTCGATTTTTAGATACAATTCTTTTCAAAATCCGAAAAATTGCAATTTCAGACAACTTTTTCGCTGAAAATAGTCTGAAATTCCCAATTTTTGAGAATTTTCAGGCTGAAAAATTCATTTTTTAGTTAGATTTCCTCTATTTTTAAGCAATTTCCTTACTGGATATCGCATCGGCCGCCGTATATCCATCGATATCTATCATATATCGACAAATCAGATAGCCCGTTCGATTGAGCCCATGTGTACAGTGTACGCCAACCAGTTTTCCCTCTGAATATCGCTTTTTTCAAATTTTTGTATTAAAAAACCTATTTACCGTTCTCCGGATCCTCAACGAACTCTTTGACGGCTTTAATGAAGTCCTGGACCAAATCCTCGCGTTCGTTCACCTCGTGACCGGGACAATTGAGTTTTCTAAACAATTTTTGGGTCATTTTCCAACTTTCCAGGCCAAAAATGGGCCACTTACAGGTACTTAACCCCATGATCCGCCCACTCGGTCTTCTTATAATATCGATCGGTATTCGTCAGATCCACCACTAGACCAATCTGTTTATTTGCTCTTTTCGCCAGCTCCATCAGCGATCGAACACTGAATTGTAGCTCTTCTGGCATGTCTTTTCCGTGAAAGAACGAAGAATCGAGTGGAGTTTTGAATGGAACGAAGCGAGTGCCGTCGATGTCGCGACCGACATTATCGTAGATGCTCCATCTGGAAATTTGCGGATGTTTTGAATAATAAAATTTCAAACATTAGAGAAAAATTGATTTAGATTGAACGAAATTTGGTGTTTTTACAGCCGGAATAGCTAAAAATGTTTTTTATTTTTGAAAATTAGGATTTTTTGAATTTTCACCTGTCTGGAAAGCGTTTTCCCGGCAACCTATAGTTATCTCTGTGACGATGATGATTATTATGGTGATAAGACATGTTATCTAGCTGGAAATCGCCTGAAAACTAGGTGAAAATCAGTGAGAAATGTAAGATATTCAATTAAAATTCAAAAAATAAAACTAAAACAATTTCAAACGACACTCCGATATCCCGATGCGCGCGTTGTTTAGCGAGCGTCGTGTAGTACACTCGGACAAGTCGAGGAGCTGGATCATTTTTTCAGGAGACCAGAAGTGGATTTTGAGGCGGTTTTTAATGATTTTTCATGTTTCTAGGGTAAAAAATGGAGGAAAATTCGAATTTCGGGGAGAGACTACCGCCAACAGTGACAGGGTTATCGCCGACTGAAGGTTTGGAGAATTTCAAAAAAAATTTTTTTTTTGAAAATAGAAAAATGAGTTTTAGGAGTTCCGGGAACCCAAATCACGATTCGAGGAGAGAATTTAGGATGTGATCAGAGCGATGTGATCATGCTGTTCATTTGTGGCATCGATAGTTTGTGGAGTATGAAGTTAGTGAGAATTTGGGGTTAGAAAGGCTAAAAAAGGGGGTTTCTAATCAAAAAATTTGGAATTAACGCCTCTAAATCGACCTAGATAAAGTCGTGGACCCCGGAAATAGAGAAAAATACGATTTCCAGGTGGAAATCCCCATCAAAAATCATCGCCCGCGTTGGAGCCGCGTCCAGAGGTCCCGGAGAGGTCCGAATAGTGACAAAATCCGGTGGAAAAGGCACTTCCAACGTTAAATTCCGCGTTTTTATCACTCAAATCGGTCCGTTGGAGGAATCTGCGGTTTGGGTCGATGAGACAAGAACGGTGCCTGGGAGAGAGGCGATAAGGAGTGTTCCACAGATTCAGGTGGGCTTGAAAATGCTGAAAATGGCTGAAAACAGACTTGAAACGCTTTAAAATATGCTGAAAATTGCTAAAAATAGACTGAAATTTCTGGGAAATGACTGAAAATATGCTTGAAATTGTGGAAAATAGCTGAAAGTATGCTTAAAATAAGCTTGAAATTGACTATAAAATAGCTGAAAATAGCTTTAAAATGGCTGAAACCAACTCAAAATAGACAGAAAATTCTAGAAAATTAGCTTAAAATTGCTGAAAATCAACGAAACATAACTTGAAAAAAATGCTTTCAAAAACCTTTAAAATAGCTGAAAATAAGCTGAAAATAGCTGAAAAATAGCTAAAGTGGCTAGATAGGAAAATGGCTTAAAAATCACCCTAAATTGTCCGAAAAATATTTGAAAAATCGCCAAAAAAATGGCTGAAAATCATCTTGAAATGGCTGAAAAATGGCTGAAAATTGGCAGAAATTGGGCAATTTTCGAATTTTCAAATTCAAAAAAAAGCTTAAAATTGCTGAAAATCTCAAAAAATGAGCCGAAAATCGGTTGAAAGTCGCTGAAAATGGCCGAAAAGTGGATGAAAAACTTTCATTGACAATAGACTTTGAAGGCTCAAAAATAGGCTGAAAATAGCCTTAAAATGGCTAAAAAAAGACTCGAAAAGTTTGAAAATAGGCTTAAAAATGCACAAAAAAGGTATAAAATGGCTGAAACTAGACTTAAAGGCTCAAATTAGGCATAAAATAAGCGTTAAGTGCTCAAAATTGGCTCTGCAATGACCTAAAAATAGCCTGAATCGGCTGTTTTTCTGCTGAAAATCGCTGAAAACTTGAAATTTCAAATTTTCCAGGACGAACGAGACGCGTTGGGGCTGGTTCCGAGTCAGAAACGTATCGATCAAGTCATGCTGTCCCGCGATTTTCCAGATTGTTCTGGAAATTTGCGAATGGAGAATTTCTCGCCGCAATGGTACCTGCTGGAGAATCATGCCGACGCAACGTGCGTTTTTTTTATTGAGCTGAAAATAGCTGAAATGGCCAAGGATAGCTGTTTTATAAGCTTAAAATCCTTATTTTTGGCTTAAAAATGGCCGATTTTAGCTTAAAATTAATTAGTTTTGGCTCAAAAATGGCTTTAAATCCCGATATTTTCATCGAAATATTTGTTTGAAAATCGGCGGAAAAACTATACAAAAATGAAAAAAATTATAGCTAAAAATCATAAAAATCGTTCCGGAATTTTTGTGAAAAAAATAATAAAAATGAAAAAAAAAATGGTCCCAGAGCGGCACCAGAAAAATCGTCATTTTTCAGAGAAAATTGAGAAAAAATCACCAGAAAAATCGTCGTTTTTTCAGCGAAATTCGAGAAAAAATTCAGCTGAAATACCCGATTTTCGGCTCAAAGAGCTGGAATTAAGTAAAAAAGTGCTGAAAACGGTCAAATATAGATATTTTATACGCTTAAATTTGCTATTTTCGGCTCAAAAATGGTCGATTTTGGCTCAAAAATGAGCGATTTAGGCCTGAAATTGACCGATTTTGGCTTAAAAATAGCTGATTTATGGCTAAAAATTGGTCATTGTTGGCTTAAAGTAATCGATTTTGGCCCAAAAATAGCTGATTTAGGCTCAAAAAATGGTTTATTTTATGTTAAAATGAGCTTATTTCAGCTTAAAATTGCCCCGATTTTATTATGAAAATTGCTGATTTTGGCCTAAAATTGCCTCCATTTTTTTTTGAAAATGACTGATTTTGGCCTGAAATCGGCAGATTTTGGCTTAAAAATGGCTGATTTTTGGCTTAAAATTGCCCGATTTTGGCTTAAAATAGACCGATCTTGGCTCAAAATCGGTCATTTTTGAGTTAATTTCTCGCTCATTTTTCCCTCAAAACCCCAAAAAAAAAATTCCAGAATCGAAGATCTCCGAACTGCCATCAAAAACATGGAATTGGCGAAACAAAACGACGCGAAACGGAGTGAGGAAATGCACAAAGCCAATCTATACTCCCTGATTAATTGTGTGGATACGCTGGCGAATCTGCATCAAGCACTCGAAAAGGGACAGAATGCCGACCATTTCGCAGCGCTGGGCAATATTTCGAAATTGGTAATTTTTTATAGGAATTTGATGTGAAAATTAGCGAAAAAACTGAAAAAAAATCAGGCAAAAAAAATCATAAAAATCGATCTGAACTGGGCTGAAAATGGCTGAAAATGAGCTCAAATTGTCCAAATTTGGTTTAAATTTGACTTAAATTGGACTAGAAAGCGTCATTTTTGGAGTTTTCAAATTTCCCGGCTATTTTGGATTGGAAAGTACGCAAACACCGCTTGGAAAGTACGCAAACACCGAATTTTTGAAAAATTCAAGGTTTTGGGTTTTTTGCGCGAGTTTCGGCCAATTTGAGTATGGGAAAAACGAATTTGGCACTAAAAATTGTCCAAAAAAACATGTTTCGGGTGGTTGCGCCCTGTTTGGAACTACAGTAACCCGAAAATTTTCAAAATTTGGCAGAAAATAGTTTCAAAAAAACCGAAAAAATCTCAATTTCGAAAAAAAATTATAGCTAAAAAATCCGAAAAAGAAACAATTTTCGGCTCAAAAACGGCTATTTTTCAGCCCATTTGCACCCGATTTTTCCCCCAAAAAATTCCGATATTTTCATCAAAATTTGTTCGAAGTTCAGCGAAAAAACTATACAAAAATGAGGAAAATTATAGCTAAAATCATGAAAATCGTCCCAGAATTTCCCGGAAAATTCGTCGTTTTTTAATGAAATTCGGACAAAAATTCTGCTGAAAATCCCAATTTTTTGTAAAGTTTTCAGTTGATTTTGGCTCAAAATTCTCTTTTTTTTTTCGAAATTCAATTTTAAAATAGGCGAAAAAACTGGAAAAAAAAATCCAGAAAATCAAAGTAATGGTCCCCGAATTTCCCGAAAAAAAACTCGTCGTTTTTTCAATAAAATGTTTTAAAAAATTTCTTTAAAATCTCATTTTTGGCTCGAAATTCACCGATTTTGGCTCATTTTTGCCGGTTTTCCTCCCCAAAAATCCTCATTTTTCCAGATAAAAGACTCAAAACTGAAAGCCGAATCCGTTTTCGCAGACGTTCTGAAACGGAAAGACGACGCGGATGCGACAAGAAACGCTCTCGGAGTGATCGTCAGATTCAAATTCATCTTTTTCCTCTCGTCGAAAATTGAGGAGAGTATGAAGAAGGGCGAATATATTACGATTTTGAACGATTATACAAGAGCCAAATCGTTGTACGCCGACACCGATGTTCCATTGTTTCGAGAATGTGAGTTTGGAGCTGAAAATGGCTGAAAATTGGCTTGAAATGGCTAAAAATTGATATCCGAAGAGCGGGAAATCTGACCGAAAATGACTTTAAAATCAACCTAAAATAGTTAAAATAAGACTGAAAATTGTGAAAATGACCTAAAATAGCTCAAATAAGCCTAAAAATTGGTCAAAAAGGTCTAAAAATAGTCAGAAATGGTCCGCAGAATGAACAGAACGGTCTAAAAATCCGCTAATAATTCCAAAAAAATAATTTGAAATTCTTTTAAAAATCACTAAAAATCCAGAAAAAATCACTAGAAATTTCCTAGAATTTACTGAAAATCGCTTAAAGGTGGGGGGACAGGAGATTTTTCGTAGTTTTTTTGTAGCTAGAGTATGCATTCTACCGTCACGGTGTACAACGCTTAATGTCACTGCGTACAGCTGTCGTCCTCGCCTTCATGTATGCAATCGGGCGTGCGCTTTCTCTTTGCCCGCGTGGCCCAGTCGGTAGCGGCGCCGCACCCTCAATCATCGCCCTCACAAGTTCAACTCCTCGAGGGGCATATTTAAACGGAATTTCGAGAACATTATTTTTTTCATGTCCCGCCACCTTTAAAGAAACCCACTAAAAATTCCAGAAAAAATTCACTTAAAAACCCTCAAAAACGAGAAATTCCAGAAAAAAACCCCAAAAAATCACTAAAAATGACCTGAAAATCACAAAAAATTCCCCAAGAAATCACTAGAAATTCCTGAAAACCCCAAAGAAACTTCTAGAAATTTCAAAAATTCACTAAAAACTCTTAAAAATCTAGAAATTTCAGAAAAAATCACTAGAAATTCCAAGAAAATCATAAAAAATTACCGAAAAAATTCCACTGAAAATCGCTGAAAAAATCGCGGAAAATTCATTTAAACATATCACTGAAAACCCCGAAAAATCACTTGAAATGACCTGAAAATCACAAAAAATTCCCCAAGAAATCACTAGAAATTCCTGAAAAACCCAAAGAACTTTCTATAAATTTCAAAAATTTATTAAAAACTCTTTAAAATTTAGAAATTCCAGAAAAAATCACTAGAATTTTACTAGAATTTACAAAAAATCTCTTAAAGAACCCCACTAGAAATCCCAAAAAAAACACTAAAAATGACCTGAAAATCACAAAAAATTCCCCAAAAAATCACTGGAAAATTCCAAAAACCCCGTTCACCAAAAACTCTTAAAAATCTAGAAATTCCAAGAAAAACATAAAAAAAAATTACCGAAAAAATTCCCAGAAAATCGCTAGAAAATCACGAAAAATTCCAAAAAAAATCACTGAAAAAACCCTGAAAAATCTACGAGAAACCTCGAAAAAATCGCTAGAAATCGCTTAGAAAATATCTTAAAATGCTAAAAAATGGCCTTAAAGAGGCTAAATGGCCCTAAAAGTAGCTAACATGGGCCGAAAAATACCTGAAAATCACCAAAAATGACCAATTTTTGCAGTAATGACCGAAATCGACGCCAAAATGGAGGTTTTCAAAGAAGAAATGAAGCGAAAACTGATCGACACGCCGCTTTCATACGAAGAACAATCGAAACTGATCAAATATCTGAAAATTCTGGATCCAGAATCGGATCCAACGTGGGACTGCATCACCTCCTATTACGTTTGGCTCGAGAAAAACCTGTGGGAGCTACAGGAGAAGTTTCTGGAAAAGGCGAAAATTGAAGACGTCGAGAGTCAGCAGAGATTCCATCAGAATCCAGCATCATCACACTTTACGAAAAGCAACGAGCTTCAGAATTTTGTGACGACGTTGGTGGAGCTGTTGCTCAGCAAGCTGCCGTCGTTTTGGAAGTTGGCTAATACCTACCATGCGTCGAGTGGATCGCCGAATGCCATTCAGAGATTGGAGGATATCAATGTGAGGGTTTAAATAGCTTTAAAATGGAAAATGACTTTTTTAATAGTACCATAAGTTTATAAGTTTCCACAAGTACCATAGTTACCATAGTTACCGTAATACCCCATATTAAATACCATAGTCACCATTATTCCCACAAGTACCCTAGCTACCATAGCACCTCATATCCCATACCATCGAACCATAGTTACCATGGCACCATAGCTACCATAGTACCCCATATCCCATATCATAGTACCATAGCTACCATAGTATCCCATTTCTCATACCATAGTCACCATAGTTACCATAGTATCCCATTTCTCATACCGGGGATACGACGAATTCGAACGTTTTCAAAATCGAACAGACCTAAAATCGAACAGATTCGATTCATAACAGTCCTTTTTTCGCACACGTACCAGAACAGAACGCGGACAGAATCGAACTGTTACAAGTTCGAACTGGTAAGGGGTCGAACTGTCCCAAAT